AATAAAATGCCAGCTGTTTTAAGCCACTGTTTTGGGATAACACAGCAACAGACAACCAGAATACCAACATTAAGCTCACAAAAAGGCAAAACTAAATAGATGGCTTACTACGAATAAAGAGCTGGGAGACTTCTTCAATAATAAAATATAATGGATATCACAAATACTAAATACCCCTATAAAATTAATTGTATTCGTTTCTTTCCCTTTGTAAGCAACTTTTTTCTTTACAGAGGAAGGAAAAAAAAGCTCAATATATTTGTGATCTAAGTTAATGAACAACATATTAAAGTAATAATGGAGGGGGGCATAATATTTATACTAGTTATTTCCTTAAAGAGGAATTCTGAGATTCAGGGAAAAATGTTTTAAGTTTAAGAGTTTTCCGAATTCCATACTGACTATATTCCTGCATGTTTGTAACTGACAGGTAGTTTTTTGACTCATAATGAAGAAGATACTCAAATCAAATGATTCTTCTCCTCCAGTTAGTACTGAAGAAAGAACTTCCTAAGTGGGATTTGATTTTATGCTTTTCTCGCTTAAGTTAAACAAACATGTCCTTCTACTTTTCTACTAAAATCAACTTCTTTGCAGATATGAAAACCTGGATCTTGGACTTGAATTTACCATGTCAGAAGTGTTCTAAAAACCAAACCTCCTCCTCTGAGAGCTTAATCCTTTCTTACAGTCAGACCCAGCAATTTCACTCATGGAAAGAAAGAATATGGGAATGGAAGCAGGTGCAGAGGGGTGAGAGGGGATGAAGAAACCCATTCCAGCAATTTCCTGCAGCAACTGGCAAAAGCAACTTGAATAAGCACCCTCAACAGAATAAAAAATGCCCTTAACCTAAACCACAAGGCTCAGCTCTATTTTAATTAGTCCCTTATACTTGGACACTTTTGTCTCAAATTATGACAAAATTTTTTTGGATCTTAGTTGAATTTATTGTAGCCCCCAATTCAAACACAGGGAAATGTCATTGGTACTAAACAGGTAAAAAGTAAGAGCATGGTCAACAGAAACACTGCCTCATGAATAAATTTCTCCATCCCTAAATTTTCAGTTTAAGAGAAATAATGTCTAGTTCATAGAGCAGTGAGAAGCCACAAGGCCAAGCCACACAATAAACCACATTATTTAGGTCAAGAGTAAAATGACTAAAAGGGATGGAATGCTGGTGATAATATTCAACACCTTCATTGGTAGCATGAGGCCTTTCAGCCTGTTTAAGACAGGAGCACTAAGGAGGAGATCATATTTAAGGAAAAAATGCTGACAGCTCATCAATTGATTTTCAATGAAAATGCTAAAAAAAAAATTAATAAAGTAGTTAAGCTGCTGAAATACAGTTTCACCAATTAGCTTAATGTCAGAGAATTCTAATTAGGCGTCTTGAGACTGCTATTTAGTGTTTAAGCCTTCAGAGTGCCAAATTCTCCTTTTCACACAAACTGGTTGCAAAATTAAAGACATTAGGCTGCCTTAATTACATTATCAGAACAGCTGGGATTAGGCAATCTCTGAAGTCAAGACGGCATTCTTTTGTCACAGGGTGGAAATCCCTGGCTTTCCAGGGTGCCGGATTTTGGTGCCATTCCATATCTCACCCATACAAAGCAAGCTGCATTAGAAACAAAAAATTTGCAGACAAAGAATAGAGAAATGCTCAGCAAATAATGAACACATTACCGAAAAAGAAAAGGTAGGTGAAAAGATTAAGCCTGAAATCGGTAGGTTTTGCTAACACCTCTACTGGCGGCTGGCCTGCCAACTCTCCGGTGGCAGTAAGACTGAAGGAAAGCTCTGTGAACTTGCTTGGCCAGTGGAGACAACTCTGTTATCTAAAGCTGAAGCACATTTATACTCCCTCATCCCAAGGGGTGTGAAATTAGCAGCTATTGTTTTTACACATTTTTGCCAACACAATGCCTTTTATGTCTTTACATTGTTTATAAAACTGTGTTTTCTTGCACATGGGAACCCTTTTTTTAATTCTAATTTTTTAAGCAACAGGATTGGCTCTCCTTCCCCCTTCTCTACTCCATTCCTTATTCCTCTAAACAACCAATGTTTTTTTTTTTTTGAGACAGAGTCTTACTCTGTTGCTCGGGCTAGAGTGCCGTGGCGTCAGCCTAGCTCACAGCAACCTCAAACTCCTGGGCTCAAGCAATCCTTCGGCCTCAGCCTCCCGAGTAGCTGGGACTGCAAGCATGTGCCACCATGCCCGGCTAATTTTTTTCTATATATTTTTTAGCTGTCCAATTAATTTCTTTCTATTTTTGGTAGAGACGGGGTCTTGCTCTTGCTCAGGCTGGTCTCAAACTCCTGAGCTCAAATGATCTGCCCACCTCGGCCTCCCAGAGTGCTAGGATTACAGGTGTGAGCCACCGCGCCCAGCCTAAACAACCAATGTTTTTATAATGGACTCATCTGACAGCATGATTTTTCCCAATTAAAAAACAGTAAAGATTGGGATTGAGGGTAGTAGGGATGCCCATAATTCATCGCACAGTGGTCAATCTGAAGGCGGCCAAAAACCTATCTGTTAGGCATCAGCCATTAATTAACCAAACAGAGCTGCCCCCCAGTAGTCCAGATACTTGTTTCCCAAAACCTACAACTGCTATAATTTCTTAATTCCAGTTTTAAAATTTTAGGTGTGGCAGTATCTGCTGTTATCACCCCAGTGCCATCACCTCTCATCTGGAATACTGCTACAGCCTCCTAGCCAGGCCTCTGTTGGCATGTTGTCTGCAAATCAGATCTTTCTAAACTAAAAATCAAATCATGTCACCCCCCTGATTAAAACTCTTCCATGGTTTTCCACTGCATGTAGAATTAAACCCAAATTCCTTTCCATGGCCTATACGGCCACAGATAATCCACCCTCTGCCTAGGTCTCCAATGTTCTCTTTCGTCACCCACACACCTCACTCACTCCAGCCACACTGACTCTCTGTCAGTTCCTCCATTCCCCTAACTTATTCCTGCCTTGGGAGATGTACACCTGCTTGTGTTTCTTGCTGGAATGCAGTTCTCCAGGTTGCACGAGATTGGCTTTTTATTTTTAAACAATTATAATCAAAACTTTAATCCCAAGGATTCTCACAAAACATATTACAAATGCAGCTCTGCATATGCCTGTGAATGACCAAGAAAGCACCATGAGTATTGACTTGGGGGTTACAAATAAATGTTAGTGAATAGGCAAATTTATAAATATGGAATCTGCAAATAAAGGGGTTTAACTGTATAAACTAGACAAAATAGCAAACTATTTGAAATGCACTGGAGAGTGCCCAGAAGGAGAAAGGGAGGAAAAGAACATTTCTCAAAAGGAAATGATTCTGAGTGAGTTTCCCATTTTAAGGCTTTTCACCTAAGGGCAGGCTATGGTCCCTGTCACATTGGAGGCTAAAACTTGAAAAAGAATGTTGCAGTCTTACTGGATTGAAGAACCAGAGAAAAAAAGACCTGAGCTATCTCAGCAGCTGGAAAGTAAGTAAGGAAATTCCAAATTCTGTATTTAACCCTGTCCAAATCCCCAACTGACTCCTGAAAGTCCAAGCAGCCCAGCTATGATTGAAAGAACAGAAGAACTAAACATATTTCAGTTGTTGTTTCCTGCAAAAAGACAGGATTCAGAGGTTTTTCAGCCAAATTCACTACCATAAAATAATAAAAAAAAGAACACTCTGCAGAGGAATACAATAGAATCCAGAGTCTCTACAACTCATCATCCACAATGTCCGTCAGGACACAATCCAAGATTATTAGACATAAGAAACAGAAAAACATGACCCATACTCAAGAGAAAAGCCGCTGAAGAGACTGACCCCAAAATGACTACGCCATTAAACTCAGACAAAAATTTTAAAGCAGCTATTAAAATTCAAGGATATAAATAAAAATATGGTTGTGATGGATGAACAAACAAGAAATCTGAGAAGAGAAATAGAAGCTGTGAAAAAATATCCAAATGAACTTTCTAGAACTGAAAAATATAATATATAAAATAAGAAAGTAACTAGATGTCTATAAAAGCATATTAGAGATGATATAAGAAAAAGTAAACTTGAAAATAGATCAATAGAAATTATCCAATCTAAAGAAGAGAAAAAATTTTTTAAAAATTGACAGAGCCCCAATATAAAAGGGTCTAACAGTATAATTAGAGTCAGACGGAAAAGAGAGAGAAAATAGTGCAAAAAAGATAAGTGAACAAAGTCTGAACATTTCTCAGTTTTGGCAAAAGACATAAATTTATAGATTTAAGAATTTAGTACACCCTAAGCAGGATAACAATAAAGGAAGCTGCATCAAAGCTTTTCTTTAAAACCAAAGACAAAAAAAAAATGTCAATAGCATTCAGGTCTCTGTTCTAGCTCTTTGATTTAAAGGCAATATCTGATTGAAATGCTAATCATGAAGTTTCAAAGACTTAGACACTTGCTACCCAGTTGAAAGGGATACATACTCTCAAAATAAGATATCATTGATCAGCTAAGATTTAAAATGAGATTAGAGACATCCCACTAACCTACTTTTACCATGTCACCAAAATAGAGAATTTACTTACTTGTTGTCTCTCTCACTCACTAGATTTTAAGGACCAAGAGAAAAGGGACCTTTGTCTGTCTTATTCCCTCTTGCATACCTCATACCTAGGAGTATGTCTAAAACATAAGTGCTTAATAAATATTTGTTAATTGAATAAATTATATTAAAGTCATACTTTACACTTTCATTACACAAAATGAAGGTAAACATCTCAACAAAAGATATAATGTAGGTAACACACTATTAACATTTAAAGAATTAATGTTTTCACAGTTAATTTCTTAAGTCTAAGAGATAGTAAGTTGTGTGAAATGTTTATACTTCAAACATGCAACCTATACGCTATTCAAATGTCTCTTCTTCCTATCTAAAATGGAAACCAGTTAATTTTTATTAAAGAAAATAATATTTTGACATAAGGTATTTAAAATCACCTGTCCTGCCAATTCCAATCGCTTGTTACCATAATAGTCTCTGTCGTCGACTTTATTATCTCCTTGTGCCAAAATTACTCTTCGCACCATCACTGCAGTATAGATACATTTGGCTCGGAAATTGAATTCCTTAACCTGTAATTCAGAAATTAGAGAAAATTTTTGAGAAAATGCACACTAAAATTTAAGGTATCCCAAGAAAAGAACCAATGTTTTAACATTTAAATAACATTGAATTATGATTCTCCCTATTCAAAGAAATTCAACTAGTCTGTGAACTTTGTGAAGGCTGAGACGATGACTTTTCATCTTTATATTCAGTCCCTGTGAGTACCTTTTCTTCAGAGATGACTACTATCTACTTCTTCCTTCCTATATACTTCATGTCACTCCTTCATTAGAGATGGAGTCCATCACCCACCTTGGATGGCCTGTGATTAGTTTGACCAAGAGAATACAGCAGAAATGATGCCAAGCCAATTCCACACCTATCCTTTAATTAAACTGGCAGTTTCTACTTCCTTTCTGTTAGAGTCCTCAGACATCACGTTAGAAGCCAAGGATACTCTGTTGTGTAGAGAAAGAGGCTACATGGAAAAGCACTAAGGGAACAGAGCTATGAGTGAGGAAGTCATCTGGGATGTCCGGCCCACTTGAGCCTTCAGATGACTCCAGCCTCAGCTGCTGTCTGTCTGAAAGTTCATGAGACCTAAAATGAGAACTCCCTCTCTAACTTAGGTTAAGCCCAGTTAAACCACAGAATCATAAGAGATACAATAAACATTTATGTTAAGCCATTAAGTTTTGGGATTTTTTGTTATGCAGTGATAACAAGAACAGTACTAAAACATTGTCTAGCATGCAGCAAATATCTGTTCAATGAATAAATGGATGGACTGATGCATGAATTTGCTGCAAATGTTCTAGCCAATCTTCTCTAGTACAAATGCTGAAATCTATATGAATGAATCTGGCTCAATCATTAAGTTCAATCAGAACTGGTAAAATAACTGCACTGATTTGTTTGGGAGGATAAAAACCTGAGGAAGATCCTTTCCCTACACCTAAAAATGTGTATTCTGAGGGTGCGGGTCTGAACTTTTGCCAATTTCGAGAAATATTTTATAGGCCTTTCTATAGAGGATACATACTACTAGAAAATTTCCTTTTTACTTACGTTAATCGTTTACTAAAATCCCAATGAGATCCTTTTTATTAAGATTATCATTATGACAATAACTCGGCACATCTTGATCTAAAAGAACAGCAGCAAGCATTCTCCTTTATAGGTTTTGCTGTTATTAAGGAATTCCACTAAATAATGTTAGCATTCTGTATGTGTTTGAAAAGTTTATATTCCTTCA